AAAGTTAAGGGTCGCAGGCCCGTTAGATTTTTTTGTAAATAGCTGAAGTTTGTATAACCCAATGGGCTTATCGATTTCAGGAGATGTGCTACAATTTTACTGGTTAATTGGGGGTGCATTAATAGGTAAATCCCGTTTCAGATAACACGGAAGGGAAAAAGAGTAATTCCAGAACCCATAGTCGTGAAAAGTGACAGACATGAAGGCAGAGAAAAGGTAGGAAGAGAACTGCGCCAGAAGTCAATCGCCAGTTAATAAACTTTTTTGCCGTATGAGTATACGTTGCCCAGGGTGCACCACGTGGAGGTAAGTCTTCACGCACCCCAGCCAGCTAAAGGGCTAATGATAACTATCAAAACGCCTGCCATTTGAAATAAATAAATAAATAGTCGTGAAAAGTGCATAACTGCCAAAAAGCTTTGGAACAAGTGATCGCATATATGAACTTTTCTGTAGTTTAGTACAAACGAATATGGATCGGAGCTCATTCACAGGAAAGACTTATTTTTACCCAAATCGATAACAGGAACTGGAAATGAAAAAACGTCAGTTGTAGATGGCAACGTATGAGCCGAGGCTACCTCTTCGTTAGGTAATTATTGAGCTGGTTTGATTTCAACTCAGAGGCATGATTTGAAGTAGGTGTAAATTCATGTTGGCTAGTAATTTCGTAAATTTAAACACTATTTTAAAATTGTTTGTGAAAAACAGAAACGATTATCTTCGCTCTTGTTAAACTAAAAAGTTACTTTAAATGCATCCGATTTTAATTTGAAACAAAATCATAATATCAATCACCAATTAACCTTTTGGTCTTTATGCATATTGTTCACATAAATAGCGTGTTCTAACAATCAAATAATACTGAAGTTACCGCTAGACCCACATTTATTATTTGTTAAAAGAATTCGATGTTTATTGACCTATCGAATCAAGGCAAATCCAAATGAATTACAAATCCCAGGCCTCTGACGTCCAAAATCCAAAAATAGTGATTGCAGCAGTAGTAAACAAGTCTGCTATTTTTCCCGTTAAGAATATATCCCCATTAAAAGCCTCCGAAACTATTGGATTCTTCAAATTGTCGCTCACCGTATATTTAGAAACTTCAACGCACTTAAATATACCTCTTCTATTACACAAAATAATATAATTGAAATTTCTGCTTGAACAGAATAAAAAATTTCAGACGAAGCAATGCTTATAAGCGCCTACGTGCCTTTTCAGCCATCGAATGAGGAATAAAATAAATTAAGAAAAAAGTCAAGGAAAATAGATTCGGTTCTCAATCGAGCACAGTCATTGAACGACATGATCAATTGTTCATTGGTCAAAACCAGTCAAATTAGAGGTAAAAAATACAAGAGGCACTCAAAGATGTTAGGTCTGTGAACATTGTGAGCAATTAGAACTTCTCTCTACAAAACCACACGGACTTACTTCGCAAGATACAAATAATGAAACATCCTTACACATCTAATTAAGTAAATACCTGTTTACTTGACTTCCGGCAGACCGGCATATTCGTCATCCTCTCTTGCGAAATATAGTGTTTCCACGCCAGACCCGGCTGCAGCAGCTGCAGCAATCATATTCGATTTCTCCACTTTCTTCGCCTCCTCTTCTTCCTTCCTGGTTGCCACGACAACAGGTGGAGCTGAGGTGGTACCCTCTTTGACGCTATCAGCATCAACTCGAGCATGATAGCACACCGTAAAAATAGGTAGATCCTGAGCAAGATCTGTCAGATCGAACGGACAAAATCGAACATTATGTGCTTTTTTCTTGTCTCTGAGAGTGGACTCCATTGTAGTTCTGATATGGGAGATTCGAGTTGAGAGCTTCTCATAATCTACTGCTACTCCAAATTGATTGAATTGACAATTACTAAGCACAGCGACCATATCTCGGTGTAGTGGGAATCCACGAGTTTTCTCAGACAAGGCGTAGATAATGTAATTGAATTCACGAATCCATTGGCCATGACTAACCTTGATGAGCATAGATTATTTAAAACTTAGAGAATGAAAGCAGCAGTAATTTAAATGCGTATTCAATCCAAACTGGTCAAGTAAGAAATACCAAATCATAAAATTTTCATGACATTTCATTTCTGCGGTCTGACTTACAGAGCCTATCACGAAAATCAGAATAAATAAAAAGGCGCGAAACATGTTTGCCTCTTTGGAAACTATTTTATCTCTTCATTTTGTTTTGAAACTGTGTAAGCCATCGTTGACCTTATCTATATTAAACCCAGATTTATTATGCTCTATCTGTTCCGAAAACGTCGCTTCCGTTTCTGCCATGCACATCTACTCGGCTCTCATCTCCAAATCCCATCAGCTCCTCTTATCGTCTGCCCTTCCGAAGATAAGAATTATTGTGTGTATTGAATACAAGATAAGAACTTTAAGGAAATAAACAATTTGAATGAGAACTGTAATAAGAAAAAAATAAGAAAAAGATGCACCAAGTAAATCTTACCAAAACAAAGTGTCCTTTATAGTTAGTTTGTTGATGATGATTTTCGCATAGGTTGAAGGCCTGGGGTACAGGAGCCTGATAAAGTGGTAGCAATACTGGTAGAGAACAATTTCCTGGGGAATTTTCAGCGAAGAAATCTGGCTCCATTTTGGTAGTTTGCATAGAAGCAAATTCACACAACTCAAAGAAAAAGCTGACAGCTCTCCAAAAAATCTACGAATTAAACAGAGAACGATAAAAAACTATTCCGAATACCTGATGACCGCATTCGCCCTGAACTTCACGCCACATTTCACAACCACGGTGACTGGCTTTCGCTAAAGCGATAAAGTCATGAACTTCTGATCGGGGTTTCCCATTATTTAAACCGAAATTCTGAAAATATTAAATAGAACACAACGGCCTACTCTCTCTCGCATTAAGTGGCTTTCAGTTAATGGAACGGTCTTTTTAGTATATGCTTTTTGGATAGCCTTAGCGGTCTATAATTAAAAAATAGACGGTAGATGCTATTAAAGTAGATTAATGACTTAACATTAAGCAGTTTTCACATACACATAAACACCTCATGAGGTCACTTGTAAAAATCTGATCAATCTGAAGATTGCTAAGGCTCGTTCCGACTTCAGCTGCTTGGTGCTCCCCAAAAGGAGTAAGAAGTGTATCATTTTGTCCTTGAATACAAGGATAAAAGAATATTTACAAACCTTGAATAATCTGGGATACGTTTTCCTTTGTTTGAGCACTAAGTACATATTAAAAGAAAGTAATGATCTTACTGACGAACTATTGTGAGGTAAAAGTAAAATTTATTTTCAGTGGCCATTCACAAGTACACTTAATTTAATTTCCGCCTCGTCCTTGGGAATGAAAATAGCGTATATGAGTACTGGCAAACTTAAATAGCTCTTGGTATGCATAATAGTGGTTAATTACAACACGATTATATTTGGATAAATTTTCAATTTTAAAATCATATATTATATGAATTCGCTCCAAGAATTTGAAAAATTAAACATGAATTTATATTGTCTATATAAAAATAGGCATACTCGGTTTTCTTCTGATCAAAATTCTGTTCATTGAATCTACATAATGTCAATATTTAATAATTATCCTGTTTTGACGTTGAATAACTTCCATATGATGAAATTTAGTGAACTCATTCTAATCTAGCTTATTCAAATTCGTTTGAGTATAATTACTTCGAGGAAAGCCTTACTAACAAAAATATTCCCATTTTAGACTTCAAGACTAATTTTCATGCATCGCTTTGCTTAAATAGTTAAATATTAGTCTTAAATTGTGACTTGCATACTCTTGAATATACGTGAAAATTTACTTCAAACGATCTCCTTCATTCTTTTATAAAAATAGGTTTTAATTGTGAGGGAGAAAGTTAATGGCTGCCATCTTATAAAATATAAATGAATGAAAAAATGAGAGTACTCCTAAGTGATATCCCAAAAGAAATAATGAGATTTAATTAGACGGCCGAAAAATTAGAAGGATTCTTTGATTCTAAAATCGGGTTCTTACTAAATTTACTGTGATCAAAAACTTATTTAAATTTATTGGCCAAACTACTTAAAACATTTTTCCGAATTTTTACAATGAATCTAGCAAATACAAATTCTCTATTTGATTTTTAAAGACTCTCCCGAATTTTTTAAAACTTGTTTCACCTTAATAATCTTTATTTCTGTTTCGATATTGTCTGATTCATTTCCCTACGATGATGATAATTCTTATAATGACTTATCTGTTTAAGTATGCCAAATGATGTTTTGCACCGATAACAAGCGATAGGAATATATGCGGTTCTCCTGGTAACTTCTCTGAATAGAATAATGCAACGTACTCTGGCTAGATATTACTCAACCAGGTCGCATCGCAGAATTTTTTATATCAAATTTATTTACTGATTTTTGCAACCATTGCCTAGCACCTCTGTATACTTCACAGTCAACTAGTTCAAATTAAAGCATTCGTACTTTTAGACTTCTACAATCGGCCACCATTAGTTACCAACTAGCTTTCCTCAGATAAACAGGAACTTTCAACCGCGTGATCTAAATAAAATATTGAAGTACATATTAATTTACATTAAACTTCTAATAGCTAATAACATCGTAGGCATGGAAAAAAATAAACAAGGTAAATGATTTCCTAAGTCAAAATTCATTTTTCTAGTGATCATTATTTCTTTTCACGCAGAAAGCTATTGGTTTCTGTTCCTCAAATATTTTTAAGGCTATTGATTGATTTATCCCAACTTGCTAATAGTGTATTTTTTAAGCTACATTCATTCGCACGAATACCGAATACACAAAATTTCAGATTATAGTTGCCATCGTACATGCCTCACTGTTGTTAATTGATAGAAGAAGATTAGAGATAAATTTGTTAGCTTTTGTTGAGAAATAACAGTGGGAGCCATATATTAAATTGGAACCAACTGGCAAAATCGTTTGGTATCACTGATAAATTTCATCGCAGCAGTAGAAGTATTTATTTATATCAAATGGCAGGCATTTTGAAAGTTATCATTAGCCCTTTGGTTGACTTCAGGCTTCACAGAGGGGAAGAAACATCAAAGTGAATAAAAAATTCGAGAGGGGGGGGGACAGAAGAGTGTTTCAAAGATGTAATAGAGAGACACAAAGGTAGAAAAGAGGTGAAGTGAGTACTGTGAAGTAGACGAATATGACATACAGTGGGGTGATGGTAGTTAGAAGCCAGATGTCAACTGCCAGTTAATAGACTTTTTTGTCGCATGAGTATACGTTGCCCAGGGTGCACCACGTGGAGGTAAGTCTATTACGCACCCCGCAGTAGAAGTATAACCTGTGGAGTGTATA